GTATTGTCTTGTCTGAGGATGACTCATTTTAGTAACTATCTACAGTAAAAAAGAAAAAAAAAAACAAGCAAAGAAACAAACAAAACTCATTTTATACACTGGGCCTTCAAAGTGCTCTCTGAAACTAGACCTGGCATGGTTTGTGCCCAAAAAATGAAAAATCAAAACTTTGTCATAGAGCTAAACCAAATACATAATTGGAAAGGTCTCAACCTGGAGAGTAAAATATGTCAATATGAAGATTCTACATGGCACCTGCTTTCAGCCAATAACCTTTGAACCTTGACCTCAGTGCATGTTTGAGGGCTTATAACTCAGCAACTAAAGGGGTACAGACATGGGACCAACTGTTATAGAGAGCTCTTGACCTCAACTATCGTGTGAGTGTAGTCAACAACTGGGGGTGCTGTCAGATATGGGTAAAATATGGATAAAATTAATTTTCACCCATTTAGAAATTAGATATTTAAAATCTGATTACAAAAATGTGTTTACCATCCCCTTAAAGTCCACAGTGTACTCTCAATTCAGTATTTACAACTTCCAAATCTAGGAAAAACACATATTTTTTTTAAAAACTACAATTCTCTGGGGCCACGCCATGCAGTTTAATACATATCAGCAACATAGTTGTAGTTCTTCTGATTTGCAAATTAGGCTTCTAAATAGGGTTGTAAAAAGATATATCTATCCAATATATCCAATATCTAGTAAAGCTGAACTAGTTATTACACTGCACCTAGATGAACTATGGTAAGAAAAAGTAAAGATGTCAGCTAATTTTTGATATTTTAGCTAATACGCTAGAAACGGCATTTTTGGGACAGTAAGTTTTTTGTGGCTTGTAAAATATAGTTGTAAAATAGGGTTGTAAAAAGATAGATCTACTGAATATATCTATTATCTAGTAAAGCCAAACTAGTAATGACACTGCACCTAGATGAAATATGTTAACAGTAAGGATGATGGATAATTTCAGATATTTTAGCAAGTTCCCTGGAAACTGTGTTTTTGGGACTCCGGTTGTAGAGTTGTCAAATAGTGTCGTACATTATTATTATTATTATTATTATTATTGGGAAATTATAACAGAGGGATAGCCTATATTTTCAGTTTTAATATCAAGAACACTTTTGTGTTTTTGTGTGTATATAGGATGTTATTGAATCAGGGAATTCGTGTGTCCACCATGAAAAAGGATCCTAACTGACTTTACATTGGCATTATTTCCGTGGTACCGGCATGTAATTTCAACCCATTACGTGCTGCCACCACGGAATGCGGTATTAAGAGGTCGTGGTCATTTCATGTATTTCTGTGAGATCAGGTTGCACATTCATATAGTCACACAAGTCCTTATTGACCATTACGCAAACACCTCCTCCCTTTGTCTCAGCAGTTTTATGCTCTGTCAGATCACTAGAAAGACTCACCTGGCTGAATGACACTGTCCATCCGTGCCTATGTCTTACCTGTCAATCAAGTTCTCGGCTGACAACTGCTAAATAACTTATCATGTTTAACATTAGCTAGGTATGTCTGCCAGTGGTTAACACTAGCCACTAAGGTTATCTTTGCTGTTGTTTTTCTGAAGCCAGCTGCTAACACTACCTAGCTAGTTGCCAAGTATAGTAATAACAGATACATTAACTAGAGATACAGCAATTATTTACCTGATAAAAACACATTATAGGCAGGCGCAGCATCAGATACTATTTTTAATGTATTGGAAATGGTCCCATTTGTTTCTTTGGCTTGAAAAATATGTGATTAACTTATAAACTCAGAACCCATTTGATTAATCATGTCGCATCCAGCTAACAGGTCATGGATGGTCACCATTTTGAAAGTCCAAGATGGCCACCACAGAGACTTTGAAAAAAATGGAAACATTGGTTTTGGAGTCTTTCCAAAATTGTATAGTTTATACACTCCCCAAAGATTTTGAACAAAAGTTGAAATCAGGACATAGTAAACCTGATTAAACCCACCATTAAGCTTAACAATAAGTAAGCTAGTCTCCCTCCAACTCTCTGGTAGATTCAGGCTCACCAACTGCCAATTGCAAACGGAGACAGACGCCAAATTACTTTCCCACTTTTACGTCTTATAAACCAAAACGCATTCTGAAATAATGTTTATATCTCCCACACCATGACTCATTAATTTCAACAAGTCTGACATGCAGTTTGGTGCTGCAGGAATATGCTGTATGCAAAGAGGGTGGAGGAGGAGCATGGAGCTGCAGCCACCACACACGTCTGTTCTCTGGGATTCCTATAGAATATTTAAAGCTGTTTTTAGAGGATAATTTCAATAATCTGGGCATGACTATTTGAATAAGAAAGAGGAGTAAAAGATAAAGAGGAGAAGAAAATGAGAAGAGAAGAGCAGAGAGCACTTAGCCTGGAGGATAGATTAGTTGGTTTATTATTTCATTTATTCATAGAACAGGAATTTAAATTTTTTTGTATAGATTTGTTGATTTTGAATGTCAATTTAAGTGTGCACAATGTGGCGTTTTTTTGGTTGTTGGCTATTAGAAATGTAGAACTTGAATGCATATATTTAGCAGCTGCGAGGTGCGTACAGTATAGATATTGAGACGCATCATATGTAAGCTAAACAGACATTTCCCCTGCTCATTACTGTGCACATATGTACTGTATGTACTTAGGCCTCAAGTGCCTCTCTGGTCCCAGCAGACATATAAGCCCCTTTTACACTGCCAGATTTTCCACGAATGTTCGGCCATTTTGCTGGCAAGCTGTGAGCGTTTAGACACACAGAGCCGGACTGGCGAGTTTATCCGAGGTGCCCAATTTTCTCCCTCGTAGGGTAGTCATATTGGCAGAACCCTTTTAGTTGAAACAGATCGAGGCGGCCTTCCGCAACGGGAGGGGCTGTTGAAGACTTGTGGGAGGAGCTGTTGATGACGCCGCACGTGCAAGCCACTGGCGGTGGATAAACGGGAAACAGCTGATAGCAGGAATTAGCGAGCAGCTAGGAGCAAGAGGGAAACGCAAACCTGACAGACACTGTAAAGATGAGCAACTGAGGAGACAAAGAATTGCGCGCCCCCCTTGCCCTCAGAAATGAAGAGGCCATTAACCGTCAGATGACGGGGACGGTGAAGAACGGGCCATCTTACGAGAGAATCTAAAGTGAGATTGTGCGCACACACACTAACATAACCTAACCTATCGTGTTCATTTCAGCCATAGTGGAGCCAGGTTCAACTTTTTTGTTGGAACCTATGTTCATAATGGCTACTGGCACCTGCTGTGCCAAGTGGTCTGACTGAACTGAATGACGGGGCTTAAAGACCTCTCAGGTTGCTGATGTCGTATATGACATCAGCATCATTGTTCACACTTTGCTATTCTTAGAATATCTCTGGCTGCTGCTTTGTCACCATTGTAGCTTTCCAATGAGGGCTCCGGTGTGATAGTAGCCTTTTCAGTGGTATTGTAATTAGTGTTTTTTTGTATTTGGAGACTAATACATCAGAAAATGAACGTCCTCTGTGATTACTTCCATTTTTCCATGCTGAAAGGAGCTGTTGTCACTAGCCATTAGCTGAAGCTTAATGAGAGCTGGAGTTATCCCATGATGCATTGTGTTGAGTCTGTCGAGAGATCAGAGGCTGTGTTGCTGTGTGCGTAACACTGCACAATTCAGGGAGGTCAGCAGAGCATGACTGTTAGGGACGTTTTATAGTCCACTCACGCAACGCGAGCAAGTGACGCAAGCAAAGCAAGCGACGTGAGCAATGCACTTCCTTTCTTAGTCAACACATTGAACGCAAGCGACGTGGGCGACACTTGAAATGCAATACATCGCTTGCGTAATAGCGGGTAGCAGAGTCAAAGTTTTTCCTCTTCGCCCGCCATATTTCATACCTGCTTCCTCTGTGAATAACAAAAAGTGGTTAATTTCAAGTACGTTGTTTACATTATCACCCCCTCTGGCAATGCATGGTACTACACGTGTCGCTGCATCGCGTATCAAAAAAATGGACAACACATTTTGAGACGCAAGCACGCATCATGGCAGCCAATGCATCTCGATGCGTCCCAATGCGTTCACGTCTGTGTGCCTTTGCATCGACTATGAAACTGCCTTTAGTGCAGCACAGAACACAATATTGTTTTCACACACACACACACACACACACACACAGATAGATAGATAGAGAGAGAGATGTGGCTTCTTCTTGTATTACATTGTATGACATGCTGGATGTAGTATATAGAGATGTATACATGCAAATACTGTACAAAAGGAATAGCACAACTAACTTTCAAGAAAGAAAAATATATTTGAAAGAAATGTAAATAGTTTTTGATCTGTGTTGTCTACAATGTTTATTTCTTCTTCCCTTGACCTTCACGGTTGAGAAAAATACATTTCTAAAGCCCAAAGTCTTGTAAACCTTAGTTCAGTGTGTAATTTGAATAAATATCTGTGATATTAATTTCTGTTTTTGTTTTTCTTTTGTATGTATTATCATATAACTATTTCTACATTAATTTGACATCAATGCAGCATACATATTCTGATAGCTCAGTCTGTCCCAAAAAGGTGATTATAACATGATTGTGAATATAGTGCCGAAGTTTTACATGCATTATTAAAAAAGAAGACTAGGAGGACCAAAAAATAGGGAAAAAGGCTTAGATCTCTTTAAGTTATGACATGATGTAAAACTATTTATTGTGATGTTTCGAATGGTGAAATGTTTACTTTTTGTCTGCTTTATGTATTTAATAATTACAGGGTTACATGTATATTTTGTATCTTGTTTTATTGACGGATACAGACATTAAGATAGTGATATTAGTTCTGCTGTAACTAAAAAAAGTTTAATAAATATGTAATCTTCAGCTAAAATCATTTAAACATATTGTAAATGTTAAAGGGAAACTGATATTTGTTCCAGCTGACATGATGCTGATTATCAATAAATGTCTTTATAAATGTCTTCTTAAACTTTAAAGGGAACAGTGACATTGAACGCTATCAAATGGCCAATAAGAAAATTCCTTTCAAATACGCCAGACCAGTAGAAGAGTGGCTACAAGAGAAAGGTAATTTCAAACAAACATGTTTTTATGCTTACGTATGTTCACTATTCTGATGACATGAAAAACTCATCTGGAGTATGAGAAGATTAAATGTGTGTTCATTTCTCTATGTAAGCTTTAAATTAATTGTTTGATTAAGTTTGAAATGAAACATTTGATTTCAGTTCTTGTCTGTGATACTCTCGTCAGCCCTGAAGACAGCACATTAATGCAGGTCATAAGATATTCATGCAAATTTTCTTTTGAAGTTGTCAGACCAAAATGATGCTTTTCATTTTTATGAACAGAAATGTGTGGGCTAAAGATTATAAATACATACCTACCTGAGGAACTAAATAATTGTTAATAAATGAACCAATAAATAGTAAAATAATTTAATATATAATAAAAATAAATGAATTATAGTTATGAGATGAGAAGAAATCTCTTGTTATGAAATGTTTACATAAATATTCATGCAGCCACTGGCATGGCTGTAGACTCTGATCCTTCTGTTTTAATCGTGCACGTGCAACGACCAGCGCAAAGACTCCTTAAAGCTGTTGGTTCTGTTGGTTCAGCAGTGCAAAGTGCAAAAAGGCTTGGTGTGGTGATTAATAAGTATGCTCTCAGCCAGTTACATCACTGGTCTTAAAGCTATGACACAGCTGAGCCAGTTATCAGGAGATGCCCTCAGGAAATCATATTATGGTCTGGATAGAGCGTGACTCCTGATGCAGTTGATGTGTGTTTTTTTCTGTTGTTGCTGTTTTGTTTGTTTGTTTGTTTGTTTTGGTACAATACTGTGTGTAATGGCACTGCACTCCAGTGTGTCATTCTTCAAACTGGAAGCTGCTGATTCATCACAAGTCCTGTCCTGCTGCCTTCAGATGGCTGCAGGGATTTAAGCAGCAAATTTAAGCTCTGCTGTTGCCTGTGCACCGTGGCCTGGGCATCACACAACTACACAAATGAATAAGAAAATTTTAAATGTCAGGAGAATATCAAACTGTTGAAGAACCGCTTGCGCTGGTCGTTCCGCTGCCACAAAAATAAGGCCTTTATTCTTGCTGTAAATGTATTGTGCAGCTGAAAAGTTATATTGAAAGGTGCTTTTCTCTGTTAAAAATATCTCTTACATTTGGATGTCCCTCTCCAGGACGGCAGCTAACAATTTTCAACACTCAAGCAACAGTCGCAATTGGTGGTAGTGATCGCAGCCGGCCTTTTCAGGGTCAACTGTCTGGCCTTTATTACAATGGTCTTAAGGTGTTGAGCATGGCTGCTGAGGCCAACCTCAACATCAAGATTAATGGAAGTGTGAGGTTGGTAGGCGATGTGCCCAGTGTGGCAGGCTCAGCCAGGACCACAGCAATGTCACCAGAGATGTCTGCTACCTTCATTGAGACTACAACCATGATGTCCACCACTACTACACGGAAACACAGATCCTCCTCAACTGTACAGGTATGGACAGAATTCCATTAATACTATACATAAAATGAAATACTAATGTGTGTAGGACCAACACATTTTCAGAACCCAGGTTAACTGGTACTGATGCCTGTTCACGGGAACTGCATGTCAAGCTATGATGCTCTGGCACACCTCGAGGGACATTTTTGGATGCCCAGGGATGGCATGTCAACTTAGGCTTGTTACATGCCATGGGTCTTTGCAAAATAATCTTCCGTTTTCAAAGGAAAAATACAATTTCCTCCAGTTAAAGTCTCTTTTTAAAATATACTTAGAACAAAAAAAACAAAAAACTTTTGGGTTTACTTCCTTAACTTTATTAAACAAAAGTATGTGTTTAGTCAACAACAGCATGTGGTTAGGTTTAGGAAAAAAGACACCATGGTTTGGCTTAAAATAGGCACATTTTTACTAATGTTATGTAATGTCATGTGACATACATGAATTACATAAAATGACATATGTCACTAGCTTACTATGCTTCACATATTAGCACAGTACATTGTTATTAATGAACTCAATTATTTTTTCTTGAGACACGGGCAATAGCAGTCTCCAGAAGTCTGGAGTTTGTTTCACCCATCCACCTCCCTTCCCACCTACCCTCTGCTGACTTTCTCACTCTTCATACTATGACAGTTGCTCGGAGCTTTGAAAAATGAACCTGGTGCATCTCATGTCACCTCTAAAGAGTGCCTCTGTGGGAGTTAGACTGGGTGGATAGGATATGTCATACAAGTTTACTTGATTCAGTCAATTGTCAGTAACCTGTTAAACAGATGTAGATCAGATAGTTTTATTTTCTTCTTAGAGTCAGAGAATTTTATATGACAGTGGAAATGTTAAACTGGCCTGACTGAAACTGATTGGAGTAGCGAGATCACCTGTGTATGCAGTCAATCCAAGACAGAGTACCTTTAAGAAAAAGCCTTTGATTAGAGCATAGCATTGCATTCCCATGCTTCACAACGTACTTAGTTTTGCAAATGGTCAATTGCACATGTCAGTAAACTTTGAATATACTTACTGACTTTATCCCATTAATGGACATTAAACATTACAATGATGTTAAGTCTCTACCTCTAACTTGACACACTGGGCTCTAGTTTCACAGACTGGGCGAGGCGGGGGCGCAGCGCACCTGCGCTTCACCAACTGGGTGTGGCCAGGTGGATTTTGCAAGTTTGGCACACTGTGCGCCTGGCGCAGCTACTCCTCTTTCCCACCTCCGTCCCTCCTACCAGCGCAAGTCGGAAAGAGGGAGGAGAGAAGGCGTGGAGTGGGTTTTACACACATCACACCAATCAAATGAGCCCCTCTCCTTGCCCTTAAATGCGCAGCGCGAGAGCTTGAGAGTTTACTCAATTCGCCATGGCAGAAGAGAGCAGCAGTGTCAGACAGCCAAACTTCTCCCAGGAGGAAACTGATGTTTTGGTCCGGGAGGTCCAAGCTCGCAGTGTCCGAATACACGGAACTGCGAGCAGACCTCCACGGGCTGATGATGCAAAAGAAGCCTGGGAGGAGGTCACCACAATTGTAAATCAATGTGGCGTTTCTCTCGTGCGTGTGCGCTCTCTTTCTCTCTCGCAGTCTCACTCTGTTTCTTTTCTTTTGACTTTTCTAAGATGACAGATGCTGAGTATGTACTCCCTATCTGATGCTGTGGCTGTTTGTGGTTGGCTGAGAGGGATGTGAACTCATCAGTTTGTAGCTGTGTTAATCAAATCAGGGTGGGTTTCCATTACGCGTGCCAAACGGTGCCAACGTGCCAAACGGTGCCAGTCCCCTTTGATCTGACATCAGATGTGACGGGACAGTCGATATAGAGATACATTTATGTGCTGATTGCAGATAGTTGCATTGAATAGGGTTTTTTGGGGTATTTATTGCATTGTTAATGTGCCTGATATTCTGGAAACCTGCCTGTGAGGTTTTGGTGAGGTGTGCGCACTGTCCGCCGGTCAGCCAAACTTCGGCTTACACCGGCTGCGCTCCGCCTGCGTTGACAGTAGACCTGGTTTCAGCTGGCAAGCTTTTAGCACACCTTCGGCGAAGTCATTTGGCACAAAACTGTCACTGTGCCAAGCTGGATCTGTTGACACCTCCCCCTGCTGCGCCGCGACACCCATCTCAGTGCACTTCGGTCTGCCAAACTACCAAACTGAGTGCGCCTCGGGTTGCGCTGCTCGAAACTAGCTCTGCGCGGGGTTCGCCACCCTGCGCCACCCTGCGCTGCACTGGGAAACTAGAGCCCATTACATTAAGTCAAATCTTTGTATTATTATTTTGCACATACTTTTTATTTTGTGAAGTTTTGCACATTCCCTGGTCAATATTCTTGCACATTCCTTTTGTAAACACTGTACAGCCTTTTTCATTTTTAATATTTTTTTTTCATATTTCGTATTGTGAATGTCTTTTTTTTATATTTATGATTCCTGACTTTTTTTTCAAAGTCTATACATTTAAACATTAAGTTTTTGCTTGCTGTAATCATTCCTCTGTTCATACTGGTTGTTAATCCATTCCTTAATTAGTTAAAGAAGGAGATAAAATCTATAGCCCTTATTCTGTGTAAAATCTATTCCAGTGTTTTATTAAGAAAGCACAAGGCTTAAGCTGTCAAGTTAATCAAATCAAATAAGTCATTTCTGAAGTTATGGTCTGTTTGGTACCAAATTCCCACTTTGTTTCCCAGTCTTTCCTTATCCGCTGTGAGGGTCCAAAGAACAGAGGGATGCCGTATGCTGTAAAGCCCTGTGAGGCAAATTGTGATTTGTGATATTGGGCTTTATAAATAAAATTGATTGATTGATTGATTGATCGATTGATCGATTGATTGATTTGTGTTACTGTCTTTCTGCAGCAGCTCAGCATAGCCATGCTGTCAGGGGAAACGCAAACTTGCTTTGGAGAATATCCACTTGATTTAATCAACTCACACTGCTGAATCCTTATACAGTATTAGTTTAAGATAAACTAAAATGTATGTAATGTATCACTTTCATTGGAAGCATGAGAATCTTTCAATGACCAATAAACAGGATGATTATAGCAAGCCAAACCTGTTTCAGATATGGGCACTTGACTGTTGTTTTAAGAAACCAATTCAATCAATTTCAATCAATTTTATTTATAAAGCCCAATATCACAAATCACAATTTGCTTCACAGGGCTTTACAGGGCTTCACAGGGCTTTACAGCATACGGCGCCAAGCTGGATCTGTCGACACCTCCCCATGCTGCGCCGCCACACCCATCTCAGCGCACCTCGGTCTGTCAAACTACCAAACTGAGCACGCCTCGGGTTGTGCTGCTCGAAACTAGCTCTGCGCAGGGTTCGCCACCCTGCGCCACCCTGCGCCGCGCCGGGAAACTAGAGCCCACAGTGTTCAAGAAATGCACTCACACAAACCAATATCTCAGTTGGAACTCTAACCGTCACTAATAATAATAATAATAATACATTATACTTATATAGCGCTTTTCATGGCACTGAAAGACGCTTTACAAATTCAGGGACACAAAGAAAAAAAAAGAAGAAAGAAACAGACAAGCAAGAAAACTAATAACAGAAAAGACCAATGGTGAGGACCCTCAAAGCAGAGATGAATCAGAGCCAAGGGGCACTCCTTGCCAAGGGGTACAAGGAGTGGATTGTAAGACTCCCAGTTAAAGACCAGGATTGGACACTGCTAAATTAGGGTGGAGAGAAAGTCCTCAAACCATTCCACACTTGACATCACCATGATGTCACCTATGACAGCCATGAACCCTGGACATGACACCGACTGAACAGGTCTAACATCAAAAGGTATTCTAGGTAAAAAAAAAAGAGTAACATATTAATATTGATAGAAATAGGTCAGAGAAAGTACAGTCCAATGTCTATCCCCAATTTCCAAAGATTCCAAATAAATTTGACATGTGACCCAGGAAGTTTAATTTAAGTTTCTATTTTTTTCCTTAAACCCAAGAGCAACTGAGGAGGGGTCCCTCTTCCAGGACAGACAGACGTGCAATAGAATTATCATTCAAAGGTTGCATACTAACTTCTGTTGGAAAAAACAAGCCTCACTATTTAAAGAGCAACTTAACACCATGTTTAAATGTTAACATGCCTGCTACAAAAAACAAAAATATTCTCTCTCCCAAAAAATGAAAAAAGGTTCAATTTAATTTTCTTTTACAATTTTATTTATAAAGCGTAATATCACAAATCACAATTTGCCTCAGAGGGCTTTACAGCATATAACATCCCTCTGTCCTTGGACCCTCACAGCAGATAAGTTAAAACTCCCCCCAAAAAAACTTTAACGAGAGAAGAAAAAAAAAGGAAAAAAAGATTTTTGGATAATAAGAATAACTATTTAAAAAGGCCAATTTAATAAAAAATATTTTATTGATATCACAATTGATCAATTAAAAATGTTGGATTTAGGAAATGGATATTAACCTATATGGACCAAAGTCTTGCTTTTGTAAATTTGATATGCTTATTTGACTTGCCAAGTCATATCCATACATGCAAATGGTCTGCAAGAAACCCAGCATACATCATTTCAAGACTGAAATGAGATATTACTTTGTACCACGTTGCATCATATGGATAAATAAATCAGAAAGCCATCGGGACCACAATAACTTGGTACACAAAAAATAAAGTTGGCTGGAAAAAGAAATGATTGATTGAACACCAGAGACATAAGCTCTTAGCAGACGTCAGAACAAAACCACTTACAGCATCCACTGGGAAGAGGTGGACCGGGAATCAGTGGACAAGTGGAGAAAGGTCAAGGAGGACATTCATATCAGACACCAGGGATATGGCGGCGCCTGTGTCTGCAGTGGCTGCATTGGTTCACGATAAAAACACCGATAATGAATTGTTAGTGTCCAGAGTTGCGTGGAGAGACTGATTTACAAGTTTAAGTTTAAGTTTAAGTTTATTTACTTTCTTAATCCCCCTGAGGGGAAATTCAATGTTTTCA